ATTCACTGACAGAATGAAAGTACCAGGCTGAGCCCAGTGCCTGGCACAAGGTATGATCTCAATAAATTGTAGTTCTGCATTTATTAATGGTGCAAGAAAGTGTGCACATGTGCCACTAGTCCCTCTCCCGTGGTAGACCTCACTAATTGATGATACCATTCTTTCTTTAAAGCAAATGGCCTCACAACCTTCACACCACCCTCACCTAGACAGTCACTACTAATAAATCATTCGGAATAAGGCAAACTAAAATCTATTAGCTCTTCCTAATGCAGGAAGCTTTCAACAGGCTGTCAAGCAGGACTATTAACATTGAGCTTGGTGTCCAAGAGTAAATTGGTAGTTAATTTTGCCTCTGGATAAGTGGTAAATTCAGCAGTAGATATCCATGGACAAACTCACTAGCATGGGATAAGAGCAGGTGATGGGAGAAGATGCTTTTGATAGATGAGAGTAGAAGGGAAGGCCCGACATCCTCCTCTTAGATTTGGCTCCCAAGAGACTATAAAGATCAAGACTATTAGAAGGCAGGTGGTGAGCAGGGCTCTGATTACTCTCCTGAGATGGAACAGCTCTGATGGAAAATGGGAGCTCACCAGGAAAAATCATCCCTCATGATTCATTTGAATTATTATTAAACATTCCAAACACCTCCTAACAATTTCTGGATTCTAGTCAATATCATCATGGGTCTAAAAACTTAATGATACTTTTAAATGACAAAGAATGTAGCAGATTATTACTATTTGTTAAGGGGAGGGGACTGTTTTAGAAGTGCTAACAGAATTAGTTAAGGAGCCTTCTCAAGAGCTCAGGAGCCTACCAATTGGTTGGATACAAGGAAAGTTTCAGATCAAAAATGTGAAGTTAAATGAAGTAATTGAGGTGGGGCTTAGTCAATATTATTGGTATCCTTATAAGAGGTATTTGGAACGGAGGTAGGCACAGAGGAAGCACCAGGTGAAGGCAATGGCAGAAGATGGTCATCTACAAACCAAGCAGAGAGGCCTCAGGAGGAACCAACTCTACTGACATTGATCTTTGACTTCTTGCCTCCAGAACTATGAGGAAATAAGTTGCTCTTAAGCCACCCAGTCTGTGGTATTTTGTTATGGCAACCCGAGCAGACTAATACAACTAGCTTTGGAATAAGTCAAATTTATGTTAGAATCTCAACTCTTCCATTCAGTAACTGTGAAGCTTCTGGCTGTTAACTCTCTGAGCTTTTTTTTTTTTAATCAACAGTAAACAGAGATGACATAATACTCTCAATTACCATACATTTTCATCAGAAGCTACAGGTGTGATCTTGGTCTCCAAAATGCAGACAAGAATTGTAGAAAAATATAAGCAAAGTTCATCTTGCAAGAAAATAGACAGAGAAGAGTCAGCACCAACAAATGAAATAAATTTTAAACTTATAGAACTATGATTGATCATGGTTAAATAGTTTATTAAACCATTAATACTAATAAGGAAGCAGCTTGTTTCTAATTAATTTTCTGAGAGAGCCTCTTAAATGTAGTTTCTCAAATAAATGTCTTCACTTGGGGAACAGATATCTAATAATTATGGTTTCAGGTCAGGCACATTAAGATTTAAGTTAACACTCTGAATTTTGACATTTAAATTATTTTTAGTGTAACTGGTTTCTCTAGCAATCAAAATTCCAACTGATACCTTTTCTCCTACCTCACAACTTTACACAATGGGTATGAAACATCACAAACCTATTTACTCACAGGCATCTACATAGTCCATATAAATATGTTATGTTGCCTTGCATCCCAAAGGGAAGCAAGAACAGAGCTACTTTGAACCTCTGGGTTTTTGGATTTTAGAAGTGAGCACATTATTGCTACTTTTCTAAGTTGGTTGAAGAGCTCATCTGAGGATTTCCAATGAGCTCTTCAACCAATTTAGAAAAGCAGCAATAGAAAAGGAAGAAAAGCTTGAACAGAGGAACTAATACAGAAACATCTGGAACAGAATACAGAGGAACCAAAAGTATTTCAAGAAAATCAGAGGCACCCTGGCTTCACTCTAGAATCATTCCCAAGTAAGATTCAAAACAAGTGCCTTGGAGAGGTGCAAGAAGAACATCAGTAGTCATTGGAAGCTCAAGAAAACAGTAAACTCTGGCTTTTCAAAGACCATCAGTTAGCAAGGAAGAGAGAGCAAGAGTGGAAAGGAGAGAAGCAATGGCTGGTACCATTGATATGACTCTTCAATGTGACATTATGACAATGTTTGAAAACAACTTTGATTAAAACTCAGTTTTTGAATTAATGACATAAAAGATTAAGATGCATATGGCAAAATGATTGCTTTTAGACACCAAGACACCAATCTTAATGTTGTATTTGACTGCTCTAAAATGATTAAACAATTTTCACTAGATTTCTTACTAGATATATGTTCATTTTAATGACATAATTATAGGGAATTTTATAATACAGAGTTCCTAAAAACTGAATAAATTCCCAGATGTTATTCATTTTATAAATAATTATCTGCTGTATATTATAGGCCTTCTTTTAGCAATGAAATTCCAAAAGAGATAGCCCCTGCTTGTTTAAAAAGGAAGGTTATATAAAGGTGTATCAAAAAAATAGTTCCTGTTGAGTTTTTAGCTTTTAAAACAAATATTTGTCTGCCTTCAAAAATATTTAGAACCTCTAACAAATAACAGTTGGTTTCTTTGAGTGTCAGGTTACATAAGAATTTCTATTGATTACATATTCAAAATTTATATTGAAATTAGTTTAAAGAAAATATTATCTATGGTTTGAAATGTTAAATGGGAGACAAAATAACTAACAGTAAATATTAATTATGTATATGTTTGTATAGGAACTGATATTGACATTGAGTACTTTGCTTATCCTCAGTTTACACATCTTAAAAATGGGGATAAGTGTGTCCACCTCTTCTTGTTATTACAGGATTGAAGTAGGTAATGTGTGTAAGTGAATAAATCCAGTGCCTAGTGCAGAGCGAACAATCAACAGGTAACAGTCATTTAAGAGCTTCCCTGGAATTGACTTAGCTAATTCTTGACCAAATATATCTCACAACTAAATCATCTCAATGTATTTCATAATAGATCTAATATATTTATATTGCCTTTATTATAAAACTGTATTCTATTGAGTCTTTGTGAAACCCATAGCATATTACAATACAGACATTCCCTACAACTATCCTTTATTTTGAACTAAGCATACATTTTCTGCTAACAAGCAGACCTCTTAGATGGTGCCTTCATTTGGGCTGAGATAACAAAATACCATAGACAGAGGAACTTATACGCAACAAAATATTCTTTCTCCCAGTTCTGGAAGCTGGAAAATACAAAATCAAGGTGCTGGCATTTTTGGTATCTGGTGAGGGCCCGCTTTCTTGTGCCACTTTTATAAGAACACTAATCCCATTCACGAAGGCTCTGCCTTCCTGACCTAATCATCTCACAAAGACCCCCGCCTCCTAATACCATCATCTTGGGAGTTAGGATTTCAAGATATGAGTTTTGGGGAGACATAAACATTCGACCAATAGCAGATGGTATCCAGCGGTAAGTGAAGTTCAAACTCATTTATTTGTTTTGGTTTGTTTTTGTTAATTCTCACCTAAGTGTATTTTTTCTATTGCTTTTTCAGAGAGAGTGGAAGGAAGGGAGGGGAGAGAGAAAATTTGAATGTGAAAGAGACACAAAGATGTGTTGCCTCCCAGGGTGCCCCCACAGGGTCAGGAGGGAACCAGTAACCTAGGTATGTGCCTTTGACCAGGAATCAAACTCTCCACCCTTTGGTGTGCAGAGGGAGAGGTTCTAACCACTGAGCACACTGGCCAGGGCAATGTAACTTTAAATAACAATAGGAACATTTCCCCAAACAGTGATCAAGTGCTGTTTTCATTGATAAAAGTGTGGAACGATAACCTAGTTTATTGGACCCCCCCTACTGGGGCTCGAGACTGCAACCTGGGCATGTGCCCTTGACCGGAATTGAACCTGGGATGCTTCAGCTGCAGGCCGAAGCTCTATCCACTGAGCAAACCAGCCAGGGCTCTCTTTGTTTTCTATCATAAACTCACCAGCTCTGCAGGCAAGGGGCAGGACCAGATATCTCCAGCAATGTTTGCGAAGAGGAAGAAGGGTGCTTAATATATGAGGACTAATACTAGAACCCTCTTCATCTTCTTCCCCCGCATCACCATCACTTAAGGAAACAGAAAGAACTCACCGTTCTGAAGCTGTGGTAAGGCCACGTGACATTGAATAATGTTAATTGGAGCCAAATATTGAGACTCCACAGCAACACAGTGATCTATCCGGAGCTGCTGAACTATGGGAGCGCAGGAACAGGCAACCCATTCCTGCCTCAACTGAACCAAAGGCTGACTCAGTGCAGAGAGCGCGGCGAGAGCACAGCTTTGGGAGGCAGGGAACGTGAACAGGGGACAACAGAGGCTCGCTTCACACCACACCTTAAGCAGCCTCTGTGCCCAGCCCGAATTTAAAGCGGGAAATGAAGGGGCATAGATGTGAATTCATACAACGAGCCTTTACATAGTCACCTAGTTTAACTCTAGGAAGTCGATATGATTAGGCACCAGGGACCGAGGGTGAGCCTGGAAGAGACTCTCGCCCTGGCTCCCGCCAGGCGCCATCAGACTCCCGGGATGCGGGCGCGCCCGGGGCGGGTTCACGAGGGGGACAAAAGCCCGGCTGCTATACAGAAACCCGGGCCTCGGCGAGGGCCTGCCCAGGCTGCCAGCAGCGGAAGAAGAAGGGGGCGTCTGCTCAAAGCCAAACAGACTGTTGGCGAGAAGCACCAGCCCCCTCCGCCAGCCTCCTCCCTGAGGGGAGGGGTTTCTCACGCCCCCAGCTGGGTGACTGCACCGGAGTCGGAAGAAAGCGGGGCGAGGGATGAGTCATAGCGCCTAATTCCTCCTTCCGAGTCCCCCCGCCAGCCCACGCCAGCCCCCTCCCGGGATCATGCAGCGGGGAGCGCAGACTTCCCCCGTCCTCAGATCCTCCACCAAATCCACTCTGGCCTGCGGAGGAGGGGGAGGGACGGGGCGTTTGGCCAATAATAGCTTCGCTTTCTTGCCTGCCGCCCAATAGACCGCTGTTTACAGGCAGGGGCGGGACTAGGAGGGCAGAAGTGGGCGGTCCCGGGCTGGCCGGGCGCCGCGGTGCAGCAGCGCACAGGGAGCGCGTCTCACAGGTAGTCGGCGCCTCGGCGACTCGGGACTCGCTGCCGCCGCTGGCCAAGGTGCTGGACACTACCGACCTGTCGGCCACCTCGCCAGCTCAGTTGCCCGTTGCAGCCGCGGCTGCCTCGCTCCCACCCGGGTCCCCATGGAAGAGATGGAAGAAGAGTTAAAATGCCCCGTGTGCGGGTCCTTCTATCGGGAGCCCATCATCCTGCCCTGCTCCCACAATTTATGTCAGGCGTGCGCTCGCAACATCCTGGTGCAAACCCCGGAGTCTGAGTCCCCCCAGAGCCGTCGGGCCTCGGGCTCTGGGGTCTCCGACTATGACTACCTGGACCTGGACAAGATGAGCCTGTACAGCGAAGCGGACAGCGGCTATGGCTCCTATGGGGGTTTTGCCAGCGCCCCCACTACTCCGTGCCAGAAGTCCCCCAACGGAGTCCGCGTGTTCCCCCCGGCTATGCCGCCACCGGCCACCCACCTGTCACCGGCCTTGGCCCCGGTGCCCCGCAACTCCTGTATCACCTGCCCCCAGTGCCACCGCAGTCTCATCCTGGATGACCGGGGTCTCCGTGGCTTCCCCAAAAACCGCGTCCTGGAAGGGGTAATTGACCGCTACCAGCAGAGCAAAGCCGCGGCCCTCAAGTGCCAGCTCTGCGAGAAGGCGCCCAAGGAGGCCACCGTCATGTGCGAACAGTGCGATGTCTTCTACTGCGATCCGTGCCGCCTTCGCTGCCATCCGCCCCGGGGCCCCCTAGCCAAGCACCGCCTGGTGCCTCCGGCCCAGGGCCGCGTGAGCCGGAGGCTGAGCCCGCGCAAGGTCTCCACCTGCACAGACCACGAGCTGGAGAACCACAGCATGTACTGCGTGCAGTGCAAGATGCCCGTGTGCTATCAGTGCTTGGAGGAGGGCAAACACTCCAGCCACGAAGTCAAGGCTCTGGGGGCCATGTGGAAACTGCACAAGGTGAGTCCTAAGAAACCCACCCCTAACTCCCCGCGTCTCCGATCCCTCGGTTTTGCGCAGACAGTCCTCCTCTTTTGCGCACAGTGCATCCCAGCGGGGGCGCAATGCAGGTGCCTACAGCATTTGCTTCCCCCGTCTGGTGCATTGCAGGAAGCGCAGGCGGATCTTAAACCGAGCACACTGGAGTTGACTATCCCCAGAGAGTTGTTGCGGGGATGCCTTAGAGCGGGTCTCCCGGGGGCGTTGCGGGTGATCCAGGCGCAGGGCGCCCCCTCTCCGCAGCAGACGTGCCGCTTGCGATTGAGGCCAGCATGCGGGGAAGCGCTGCGTGACTGGGCAGAGCAGCACCAGTGCCCAGGGCCGCCAGGGCCGCTCCAGGGCAAAGCAGGCTGCTGGGGTCTGGCCATGGTCCTTGGGGAGCAGGTGGGGGCGGTTGGGTGGCGAGGACCTCGGGGCGGTGGAGCTGTTAGATCGGCAGGCGCCACAGTCTCCGTGGGGGCGGGAGAAAGCCACGGGCGGAATACTAATGAGTCCGCGCGTGCCCAGACGCCGCGAACCTGCTGGAGGGGCTGCCATGGGGGCCCATGCTTTGCGCTCAGGAGGCAGAGGAGTGAGGAGTGGGGTGGGGAAATCCTAAATCTATGGTCGCCTTGGCACCTGGGCCTGCAGGCTTAGATTCCAACCCTCCCCAGGGGACCTGTGCCTGGAGTAGCTGGACCTGAGGTTAGGTGCCGTCAAGGCCTGACGGCTGGGCAAGCGTCTCTCCCAGAGTCACTTCGTCCTGCCAACCTCCCACCCACCCGTTTGTCCAAGATTCAATCCCTTTCCTCTGTGTAAACTTTGAGACACCTGTTACCAGATTTATCTTTCCGGTCTCTTTTGATGGCGTTTCCGCCTAGACCTACATGACTTGTTCCTCTTGGACCTGCCTCATCGATGACATTTCCTCCTCCTCATTCCCTCTGCTCCAGTCACAATGTCCCTCTTGCTGTCCCTCAACCAGCACCAGGCACCTTCTGGCCCCAGAGCCTTTGTATCGGATGCTCCCTCAGTCTAAGGTGCTCTTCTCCAACTTGCTATCCCCATATCTGAGTGGCTTCCGCTCTTGCCTCCTTCAGATCTTTGCTCAGATGTCACCTTTGTTGGCAGATCTTCCTGACCACAATTGCTGCCACCATCTCAGACATCCTTTAGTTTCCTTCCTACTTTATTTTTCTCAGTAGAAGTTATCACTATCTGGCATGCTATATGTTTTTTTTTGTATGTCTGTTGCTTCCCTCCTCTCCCTCCATCCCCATACAAGAGAATAAGCTTCAAGAGGAAAAAGATCTGCCCTGGCCAGTCTGGCTCAGTGGATTGAGCATTGGCCTGTGGAATGAAGGGTCCCGGTTTCCTTTCGGGTCAAGGGCACATGCCCAGGTTGTGGACTCAATCCCCAGTGAGGGTGTGCAGGAGGCAGCCGGCCAATGATTCTCTCTCATTGATGTTTCTATCTCTCTCTCTCTCTCTCTCTCCCTCTCCCTTCCTCTCTGAAATCAATAAAAATAATTTTTTTAAAAAGAGGAAAGAGATCTTTATAATGTTATGTCCACAGGGCTTGGAAGGAAGGGAACCATTCTTGAGATGTACATAAATGTGACTTCTACTTTTTAAGTAACCCATTCAGTGGGGGTGTGAAGGGTAGGGCAGGGGTTCCAGATTGTTGTAGGGAGGATTTCTTCACATCATTTCATTGCAAGCCCAGGGATAAGGCCGGGCCTAAAGATGGTGTTCAGTCCTCTCAGCTATTCCCCCACTCAGGATTTCCCAGCATTCCTTAGGACTGGCCTTTGAGAGAGGCCATTGATATTTTATTTACAGAATGAAAAAAGCCCACATACACACACCACTTTCAGCAATCAGGGAGGGTTTCTCAACTCAATATTAATTTCACGTGATCCACATTTACAGTCATTTGTGTTCTCACATATAAGCTATTAAACCATATTGGTCTTGCTGGAGATCTAGGCACATGCCATTATTTTGAAAATGCTTCAATTTAAATGTTTTTAAATGACAATTTTGAGTGTTTTCAAAAATTTAGTTCACAGCCAGTTTTCATTTAATTGTGTGCATTCACTCTTAAACTGCTATGTTGAATTGCCTTTCTATCCTTGGAACTAAGAACTTAATCACCCTATCTGGAAAGAAGAACTTTGAGCCACACTCTAATTAGGATGGTCAAACAAGAGCATTATTTTTCTGTGAACAAGAGCCTAAAGTACTTTATCCATTAAGACTAAAAAAAAAAACCTTTAAACCTGTCTAGCCCCATGCAGATTTGAAATGTTAAACCATTTGTTTTATCAGTAATGGGAAGCTGTGAGTAGACTCTGTGATATGGACTGGGTTGAAATTTAGATGCCTGCTAAAAAAGAATAATGTTAAAGCCCTTGAGATTTAAATAGGCTAAGAAGGGAATGTTGGTTTGCTTTTTTTAAGGATAATTTCTTCTCTAATCTTATGCAGATTTTTTCCAAAATAGTAAATAGGTATAAACTTTTTCAGTCAATATCAGGATTATTAAACTTCCAAGAAAAAATAAGAAGGATGACAGATATTAACATTCACTTACCATCTGTTGATGAACAACAAACATTACTCCCCCATGTTATCTGTTTAATAGGGGAGTTAATGTGTTAATGCTTGATCTTTCTCATATATCCTCACAAAAAGCTCATGAGCTGGAATTTTTATGCTCTTTAAGACATAAAAGAGCAAAGATTTACACTAACTAATTCTCCCAAAGTTGGACAATTAGTTCTCTACACAGGTGATTACTAGACCCGAAAGTTTTCATTAATAGTCTACCATGTTAATTAGCCATTTCTAATGATAAAGAAAATCTTATCTATAATAATAAAAGCATAATATGCTAATTAGACTGAACAGCTGAACAACCTTCCGGACGAAGCCAGGGCTGCGAGGGCCGAGCCCCTTTCACGAATTTTGTGCATCGGGCCTCTAGTGAATAAATATTTCCCTTGGACACTAAGTCATTATCTTACTCAAGAAAAAGTGACTGAAGTTATTTTTAAATAATTATAAAAACTAGTTAAAATATATCTGTTGTCAATTGACCAAATTAAAATACTTTTCAGATATATATAACCTTGAAAAATCCATGAAACATTTC